AGCCAAAACTTTACAGACTGCGCAGGCATAAAGACTATCAAAGTGGTAATGAGTGGTTCCTGCACAGAGGCAAGTATGTATTAAAGAGACTAATGACATTTGTTACACTTGTGGCCATTTAGAATCTTTGTTTATGTTTCCTATCTTTCAAAATTTTGCCACATACAAGTTCCTTCTTCCCAAAACAAGCCAGAACTCACTCTCCTGGCTGTCCTAGTCTGGCAATGAGATCTCATGTCCACCAGTCAGTTCAACTCAGAAGCAGCAAGGTGAGGAAGGAAACGAGAAAATCCATCTTTTTGGTGAGGCAAGGGGCAGAGATCCAACTTTCAGGGGAACACTGTGATGGCATGTCTCACACGCAGTCCCCAGCATCACCGGTGAAAGCCGTGAGAGCAGTGTGAAGGTTTGTGGGGCAGTGCCCAGAATGTGGTTTGAGCAGAGCTCCTGCTCACCTAACCTGTTTGTTGGGTGTCCTGTAAATTCTGTGAGGTTCCAAATGTCCTTTAATAATTTTTCCTCCACTTATGTTAGCTACAGCTTGGATTCTGTGGTTTGCAACTAAGCATTTAGTATCATACAAAAACGGGGGCTACCAACATGATAGTAGACTAATGACCAATTCAATAATAAACTTAACGGTCATCTACAGAGAACCTGTCACAAGGGTGGTTCTGTGCTAGAGGCTGAACGGGAAGGGGAATACCATAGGATGTGGACTGTGTTAATAAATGGACATGAAGATACAGAACACAGATATAAATAAAGTTAAAAGAAACTTCAAAGATATAGAAGCATATATGTAGTTACTACAACACTACAATAGCATATTACACATACAGCTAAGGATGAAAAATGTTTCTTGACTTATTAAAATGTCCACTGGGTTTGGGGCAAATCTGTTGTGCTACCAAAGAAAGTAAATGTACCTTCTATAACTGGTAAAATTCACTTATGTCAGACAAAATAATTTGCAAATCATATATGTCATAAAATTATATACAGAATTCATACAATAGAACAATAAAAAGACCCCAATTCCAAAATGAGCAAAGTACTTAAACAGACATTTATCCAAAGAAGATACATAAACAGCCAAAAAGCACATGAAACAAATGTTAAATTTCTTTAGTTATTAGGGAAATGCAAATCAAAACCACAACGGGATGTTGTTTTACATCCATTACGATGACTATTATCAAAAAATGGAATAACAAGTCAAGAATGTGGAGATAAAAGAAACTGGAACATTTCTCCATACATTACTCTTAGGAATATAAAATTATGCAGTCACTATGGAAAAGCCTGGTAGCTACTCAGAAAGTTAAACACAGAATTCACTGAGAAATAAAGACAAAAGAGACTGAGAAAATAACTGAGTGACAAATGACGTCATTTTAACAGAAAATATTAAGGCCAGGTAATTCTTACTAAACGTGATTATGTGGCTAAAACTCAATACTAGTACCTTGAAAGACCTTTCAAAATTATTTGGTAGGGCAAGACTTTTTGGTTTTAAGGCTGTGTCAGTAGTTGACTATATATACAGTAGCAATCAGCTAGAACTTTCCTTTATTCACCGCCTTAAACCACAGTTTACTCTTTCGCTGATATTATATTTTATGACAAAGATAGATTCTCATTTGTTAACCATTCATATATGCAGGTGCCCTTGTAGGCTCCACTGCTGTGTAACTCATGAAACTGCTTCCTTCACTGCAGCCCAGCAATTCTACCCCTCAGTATATATTCAAAAGAACTGAAAATAGGGACTCTAACAGATACATATATACCAATGTTCATAGCAGTATTACTCACAATAGCCAACAGGTGGAAACAGCCCAAGTGCCCATCAACAGATGAATGGACAAAATATGATATATGCATATAATGGAATACTACTCAGCCATAAAAAGGAATGAAGTATTGATACATGCTACAACATGGGTGAACCTGGAAAACATTATACTAAGTGAAATAAGCCCGACACAAAAGAACATTGTATAATTACACTTATTTAAGGTACCTATCATAGACAAATGAATAGAGACAAAGTAGAATGGTGGTTACCAGGGATTGGGGGAAGTGAGACACGGAGTTATTACTTGATAGTACAGAGTTTCTGTCTGGGATGATGAAAAACTTCTGGAAGCATAGTGGTTTTGGTTGCATAAAATTGTGAATGTAGTAGTTAATGCCACTGAATTGTACACTTAAAAATAGCTAGTACAGATTGTGTTATGTATACTTTACCACAATTTTAAAAGGTCAGTCATAAACCTTATCTAGAAATCTGTCAAAATTTAAATTCAGTATTATCCCTGTTGGCTGCTTTTTACTGTCATTTAAGGTGTAGATTCAATTAGTGGCTCTAACCAGGAAAGTGGCAGCATAGCACGGTGAAGAGGTCAGGTAAAGAGACCTAGGTTACAACACTGGCTCCATGACCAACTAGCTTATTACACACTTAAAACGGAGCCCGACATGTGAAAGGTCCTTAATAATTGCTGCAGTTAACTGCCGTCGTTATTACTTTGTATTATTGTATTAAAAACCCCACGGAAAACAGCAATGCATTCTATTACAGAAAAATGGAAAACTCTGATACATCAAAGAAATGAACTTTGGACAGCAAACGTGTGGGGTGATTAAGACGCAACATCCCTAATATGCAGACATCAAACCATCAGATGAGAGAGGGCAAGACAGAGAGGCAGCAGGAAGGCTACTCTGGATCACAGGGTCAGCCAACAAAGGCGACTCTGAAGAGGCCACGAATGAACTAAGACGCGAAAGATGAAACGCAGCTGCGGCGGAAAAGCCTCGGGTGAGGGCACTCTGTGGGGAGACAAGAGCAAAAGCAAAGGCCAGAACATAGCAGGAACTTGGAGGGTCTGAGGAGCGTGGGAGGAAGAAACCTCTCCTGGGAGAGAACCAGGGGAGAGTGGTAGAAGTAGTCGAAGAGGCAGACAGAAGCCAGACCTCATAGGCCTAAGAAGAGGGGACTGAGATTCTAACCTCAGAGGGAAACCACGAAAGCTGGGAGTGACGTGTTCCAGTTTACTGCGCAAAAGATCCCTTTGTTGCTACATGGAGAAAGGATGGGGTAGGAAAGCAGAGTGGAAGGAAGCAGTGGAGCAGTTGGGAAACTATTTTACTAATTTAAGGAGGAGATGATACAGCTTAGATTTGGGGTAGCAGCAGTGATAATAGAAATTTGTGTACAAATTCAGGTTGCATTGGCTGATAGAAGAGAGAATATGTTTCCTTAACTCCCCCAAAATGCAAACTAAAATTATACAATTTCCCCTGTCAAATTCACAAAGGTTAAAAAGGGATAATACAAATCCTAAGGAAAATGTACTCGAGGGCGGCACTCAGAAACCTCCCCAAAGCAACTTCCTGTATTATCAAGTCTTTTAAAAAAATTCTCACAATTTTTGACTTAGTAACTAGCACATTGCCAGTCAAATCAGCACAAGTCAGCACACTGAATTAATGAATTCAACTTTTAGATCTTTTATTAAATTAATTCGACTTCTAGAAAACACAGGAAAAAGACAATCAAGATTTACTGTAACACATTTATACTTGCAAAAAATGGGGGGAAGGCTAACATTCAACACTTAAGGAGTGGCTGAATTATAGCTTATGATAAAGCACTAAGCAACCTTCAAAGTCACATTCATTAAAGGATTTCAAGATGTGGCGGGGAATGCTAACATACAACATTAGAAAATTAACTAAGAGAGCAAATAGTACTAAAATTTTGTTGTGTTTTCCTGCTGGTAAGTTTTGGCATGAGAACTGAACATAGAGAGCCATCAAATAGGTACGTAATACAAATTTAATAATCACGAACCTCTTCCAGAATCAAAACTCAATAATGCTTAGAAAACTGATGTGCCCAACACATCACATATTGTCTCTATCTTACAGTACAAGTCTCTTGTTACCCTTGGTCCTAAAAAAGGAAGCAGGGAAGTTTCAGTTTTGTGGTTGTCTTGGTAATTTAAGAATAAACATGCACATCCCAAGTCTGTTTGTCACTCTGTATTCTCCAGTGCCTAGCTCAGTACCTGGGACCGATGAGGAGCTCAATAAATATTTCTGAGCGAGTATCACAGAAAATAACCGTTGTGATTCCAACTCAGGACCAAAGACATTTAAAAACCTCAAAATGGAAGAGGTACATAAAATAGTGAGAATACTTTATAGTATTTTGAGTGGTTACAGTGTACCAGGCATAATTACAAACTTTACCCACTTGTTCTTTAATCCTCACAATAATGCATTTCTGAAAGAACTACTTTTCACGCTTTTAAACCAGGAAACAGGTTCAAAAATGTTGAGGAACTAGCCCAAGGTCACATTGCAACTAAGTCTGAACTCAGTGCTTCTGGAGCCTAAATGTACTTAGACGTGATGTATCAAGACAAGACGTTTCTTTTCAATTGTCAGAACTGACCAGGACTTTCCTCTAGGCTTCACCTATAGTTCCACCCTGTGTTCACTAACTCCTAGCTTGCATGTAGTCATCGCTATGTCAATCCAGCCCTCACCAGCAGAGCCCTGCCCAGCGACCTCTCTTTCCTGGCTGACTTCCTCGAGGGTAAAGGACCAAGTTTCCAAGCCCCCGGGTGACAGCCACACTCAGAATTGGGCACTGGCACAGGGCAAGGGCCTCGCCCTTCCCCCTCTGTCAGTACCATTTCGGTTGGGCTTTTCAGCCAAGCCTTGCGGATTCAGGACTGACAAACATTACAGCCCGGTGCCCCGCCCGCGCTTCGGACCAGGCTCGCTGAGGGAGGCAGAGTCCCCGCCGGAAGGGGCCGGCTGGGGCGCCGCGCCGGACGATTTCCACGAGGACCGAGCGCCGCTCCTCCATTCCCCCGCCAGTCTCCGCCCCAAGCGTCTCGCCGCTGCTCCCCTCCCTGGAGCCCGAGCTGAGACCAGCGCCAACGCACAAGTGCAGATAGAGGCGCCCTGTGCCCCCTTACCTCTTAGAGCGTGGTGCATACCCCCAATGCCGCTGTACAGCTCCAGGACCCGCAGGGGCTCCATGCCGCCGCCGCCGGCCGCCGCTTCCGAGCTAGTCCTTCCGGTCCCGTTGTTTCGCCTTCCCCCTCGGCCCCGCCTCTCCCTCGCTTCTGGTTCCGCGGCTTTTCAATTCCCCCCTTCCTAAAGCTCAAGCTCAGAACTTTACAGGGCAGCTCTAGGGGCTCAAGGCTGGCAGGGGTCACCAAGTGAACGAAGATCAGGAAGCACGAAGGCCTCCCAAGTGAATGGGAGCCACTCCGTGGTCTGATTTAGGCTCCATCTTCCTTCTAAATTGTATTCAGGGTCTTGGGAAGGAGAAACATAATCCAGGACTCAGAGGAACGGTGAATCTGCCTCTGTCCAAATGAATGTCACAAGTAGAATCCAGAAA